ACCAATCTGGCGCGGCCCAACATTAGAAATTAAATATGAGCTGAGTAAAACAGAAAATACAGAGTAGAGTCTAGCACAGTCGGGATGGTCTGTAAAGCTCACATGCACCCCCCCAAGGACTATTGGGTACTTTTTTTTAATGTGACACTAATGCATTTTCGTGGAACTAAATAACTCTAATTACATGTTTTAAAAAGACCTGGCACACTCGACTATATGAATTTAACAATTATTTGACATTCAAGTATGAATGAGTCTAACATATAATAATGCAATTGAGTCAATGTGCGCAAGACATTCGGTTAATTAAGAAAAGGCAACAATTTTTGAAGAGTTTATTATATCATGTCTTTTAGCTACGATTTATTGTTTTTAGCTCTATTATAAACTATGTATAGATTAAGTGTATGCATTTAATATGGTTTTTAGTTCAGTATACTAAGTACGTTCGGCAAGCTCATTAATGTGTACATTGGAATGTGTTTTATACACCACCCAGACGATGAACACATCTCAACGACAAGTATTGATAACAATATAATATATGAACATGTTTAATAATAATTACGTCTTTCGTCTGAATTTTGATGTTTTGGAGTTATTTTCGTAATTTAAAATTGTTCGGAAGTTTGTTAAAAATCGTCAAAATTACTCTGAATTCGAACTTCACATTTGCCAGAGATTTCTGACATTATTTACTCCAACTGCAGAATCCAAACTGAATTCTAAGTGGACAGCAGACTGTTCTAGGGTATTTATACCAGTTGAGCTGGCGCGGAAAGAATGCCTCCCAATTGACTTAGCTTTCGATAGATTTAGTTCTTGCGGTAGAGGTTGAAATATGGCGGTCTAGAATCAAAGGGAATCTGCAGCTGGGATCTTGTACCTGTCACTATAATCAGATGTTATATATCTCTCTATCTATCTCTCTCATACCACAAATGCGCCATAAATGGCAGATTATAGCAGGATTACTTCTTTTAACGTAACACGCATAGCGAAGATTAAATGATTCTTCGCGCGAAAAACGCGCGCGCGCGTCTATGACGGTTTCAGTGTAAAGTCGGTTTTAAAGTAATGCAATATGTATGTACTACGGCTTAGGGGGAATTGAAATTGACATGCAATTTTATAAATAGCTAGCTAGAATAAAATAGCTAGCTGAGAAAAGCTAAACATATACGCACAAAAGAGGGCTATTATAAAAGTAATCACATTTGCCCGGACAGATCAGTGGAAGAAAGGAGCTTTCAAGAAGCTCTTGGAGGAATTGAAAGAGAAGAGGAAAGCAGAGTCTAAAAGAGTTCATTTCATAAGGAACAATAAAATTGTCAGATCTGATGAGAACAGTGTATCAGCCTCGTCTGAAGAAATTTGAACTGTTTCACATTCTTCACCACACAATTTGATTTATTTTGTCACACTTTTGTTTCACATTTTTGTTGTCATATCAGGGCCATGTAATTGCGGGCACATTTTACTGTACAGTTTGGTCTCCCGTCAGATTTTACAGACGGAGGCAATAATTTATTCGAGTTTATTTTATACGTTATAATTGCTGTACTCTGTAACACCCCAGTTCCACAGCCAGATATTAATGCAGGTCAAAGATATTATTCAAATAAAGATATCTTTTACATAAATCATGCACAATCAGCGAGAATAGATTGCTTTGGGGTCTTCCTCTTCTCCCTGGTAAGTCCAGTGTATTGATGGCAAAAATGAGGGAAGAAAACGCTGGTCCGTCAATAGGACCCCGCAAAACATGTCCTAACATTCTCCACCGACTACGGGCCACTTTTTCTGACAATGGTTCAGCATTGCAGCGTTTATACAAGTTTTTGTTGGAGATGACTACTGGGTACTTTATATTCAAAATAGTGCGAAGATGTCTGCGGTGAACAACATCTAGTTTTTCAAGAAAAACTAGATGTTGTTTTTCAAATACTTGAAAAGTATTTTTCAAATACTTGAAAAGTATTTATTTAATAAACACTTTTGTTTCACATTTCTGTTGTCATATCGGAGCCATGTAATTGCGGGCACATTTTACTGTACAGTTATACCGTGTTTGGTCTCCCGTCAGATTTTACAGACGGGGGCAATAATTTATTCGAGTTTATTTTATACGTTTTTTTTATTGAAATCTTTCAAATCAGTCAATTACATACAAGTTTACACAATGAATTAGTTAAATATAATATTGTCGTCTAAGCATGGATTGTCAAAGTTGAAATTGTCTCGGACAAAATGTATGTAACCAAAGGACCTGAGGGTCACCAAAACACAGATATTGAGTGCAAATGCAGCTCCTGCACAAGCATGGGCCCTTAAAAATTGCGTTATAATTGCTGTACTCTGTAAAGTTTGAAAAGTATCTAATAAACAAAATATTGAATAATTTAAGCTGGGATCAGGCCAAACTCATGGCAAATAAGCCTCCCCCGCTTAGGTTCTTGTGTGCCACATGTCCTTGACCATTCTGAACAGGGACACTGATATAACTAGTTATAGCTAGACCTGGTTAGTTCACATCCTTATTCCCTTGTTGCTTGTCAGAAGCTGTCAACTTGTCAATAACCTTATCGTAGGGGGACGGTAGGAGGCCGGTGAGTCGTGAGAGGCTGGTGAGAGGGGTGCATGCAAAGCCATAATTAAAAGTTACAAATTCACGATACTAACGTCTAACAAGAACAATTAACGTGATCATGAACGTGGTCCAGTAAAAAGCAAGCACTTAAACTAACACTGGCTACTGCTGACTGCCGATTTTTTTGTTTACAACAATTTTTGTCAAATTTTTTTACTTTTCGAGACCATTGCCCATTCCATTTATTTAATTTCTCCATCGCGCATAGCAGCGGTTTTAAAGGCTAATTCTAGAAGGGGTCGTTTTCACTCACTTCGATGAGTTATTAAACTAGATGCAGATACTGCCTGATGGGAAAAGGATGTAAGAGAATGTGAAAGCATATAAAAGAAGTGGATTACACGTGTAATAGTCAAAGAAGTTCAGCATGTCATATATGCTCTACTGAAATTTAGGTCTGCTTTTAAATTAGTCGCCGGAACATTTAGTCTCAATAAATTTGGCTTACAAAAATGTAAGTCAAAATGTTGTCTAAATTTATGGTAGACTGAATTTGTGGTTCCTAAGGTAATTCTTCTCGTAGTAATCATCGAGTGTCATTTTGTACTTGCTGCAACTGATCAACCAATTAACAGACGGGAAATGTTCCCTCTGACTCTCTGAGCTAGTTTCTTGTCGATCCAGATCACGTCATAACAACTGAAGTTATAATACCTAGTACCTACATTTACAATTTCATCGTCAAAGATTTGAACTGTCATGGATCGGTAAATATCTGTCTTAAGCTGTCATAACATCCAAGCGAACATTCTAGAAGACTTCTATAAATAGCAAATACACAGTACTAGCTGTTTCAATATTTGGTGGGGTATCATTATATATCAGCTGGTTATTTATTACCACAACGGAGCCGCGCACACGTGCACATCAATACGTACACTCGTACATTGAGCTACCTATACTTTATAGTTCTTACACGTCCGCTCGGAATCACTTCTTGTATTTCTCTGTCACCTGTTTCGTCTGCTCGCTCGTCTGCTCCGATAGTTCTTCGGTGAAATATGAGTCTTTTATATTGTTGGTTCTTTAATAGTTTAATTGTAGTTGATAATAATATCCACGATCAGGTGCAAGGTTATAAGAGTCTTTATTGCTGGTTCTCTAATTCAAGTCAATTTTCATTGGTCTTGCTGAAAAGCTCTAATTTTCAGTTAATTCAACATGTTTTTGCAATGATAATGATAAATACTTAAATATAAACACTGACAATAAACCCCTAATTCGCGATAATTTAACATCAATTAATTATTACTACTAATTATTACTAATATGCCACTTTCTAAGATCGTTTAGAGAAGCTACAAACAGGAGACAGTACAGCTGCTACCAACATACCTGTAGATGCCAAACACTACAAGATCTCTAATGAGGAATGTGCCTGTGTTATCCGTGCTGTCCTTGTCACTTTTCTCATTCACCTAGACCACGATCATAGTGAGCTTTTTAAAAATTCTTATCTTTTTAAAAATTCGTATCTTTTTTTTAAATCTTATCTTCTGTGGTAGTGTACCTGGTTTTCTGGGTTCTCTTTGAACAGGTTGCTGCAGTTGTATCAGAAAAAAACCCCAGGATTTATTACCAGCGACCTCTTGCCCCAGAGTATTTCCCCCGAGGTTTGAGGTTTGGAGCTTGTTAAAAGCCATTTTATCTCAGCACAATTATCTCAGCAAACACAGAAGATTTGTTGCGTCCCCTGCTGACGAAAGAAGACACCAATGAAGGGCTTTTGCTCGTCGCTGACGCTTACTTTGAAACCAACAACATCAATGCCGGTAAGAAGTCATTTTTCGAATCTTTGGGTCTTTTCGGCTATTGTATATAATATAATATGAAGTAAGGACTCTGTATTGTTAGCTCAATCTATATCTCTTGAAGACCTTGCATTAATATATCTTCGTTGCTCAAGTCTTAAAACCTAAAAAGAAGGGAAAAAAGAAAACAACAATTTTTAAAACTTAAAATGTCAACCCCCAGCACGCCCTCTATACGAGCTACTGTCGAAGTCGTGTAACTCTGATCACCCTCATACTTGGGTACAGCTGGGTCTCTCCTACGAGGATCAGGTTTAAAATCATTGCTAATTATTACTATTCGTAATTATTACTCATATTATAAGTTACCATTAGTACCCATTGCATTAGTTGCCAATAGTAACCATTAATATTGAATAACCAGTTTTACCAAGTCTAGTAACCAACAGTTACCAATAGTAACCACTAGTTACTAATAGTAACCATTAGTCACTAATAGTAACCATTAGTAACCACCGTTATCAGGGAGATTGGAAGGAGGCAGTTAGGTGTTACGGAATGTTCTCTCCTTTGACGAATCTAACGAAACAGCTAAACTAAGACTTTTCTCGCTGCAACAAGTGCACCTGGCAGAGCACCAAGAGGAGTTTACTGTTAACATTCACGCTGACTTCAACACTGTCAAAGTAAGGAAACTATCGGTAATCACACTATATGTTTGTTTGTTTGTTTATAGAACCCGTCCCCAATCTCGTATCGGAAAATGACTAAACTCAGGTCTGAGTGTGAATACGGGTGGTACCTGCAAGAGTGTTCATTAAGCATTTAGAGTTCTGTAAAACTGCAGTTACAATTGTGCTAGAGTATTTTTAGAATATACGATTGGTATCAGATTTATATCCCTACATGCTTCCAAAATTTGTAATCACACTATATAATGACAACACTATATAATGACAAGCACTTTGTAATGACAGCTGATCTTTGTCATTATATAGTCTGCAAAACGGACTATATAATGACAACACTATATAATGACAAACGATCACTAATATCGTTATTTTTGGTTTATATTTAGATTTATTTGATGTGATTCGTAAGAGAATCAAACTCGCTTATTATTTTATTGTTATAAGGGCCCTTATTTTAAACGGGCATATCCTGTCCAAACTCAGGATGCACTACATGAAGAATTCGTTGTAACTTTGTTTGAAAAGCATTAGTATAGTGCGAAAAAGGCAAGCTGTATAGTGGAAGCACCTGAAATAACATACGTTAGAAATAGTGAAAGTCCCTTTTGACTAAGTAAAGAGCGATACAAAGCTGTATTGTCATAGGCCTAATTTAATAGTTTAATCGCAATACAATAATTTACGTTCTACGGTTAAAGTAACCAGTAGTAACCAGTAGTAACCAGTATACACACCGGTAGGAGCCAGTAGTAACCAGTAGTAACCAGTATACACACCGGTAGGAGCCAGTAGTAACCAGTAGTAACCAGTATACACACCGGTAGGAGCCAGTAGTAACCAGTAGTAACCAGTATACACACCGGTAGGAGCCAGTAGTAACCAGTAGTAACCAGTATACACACCGGTAGGAGCCAGTAGTAACCAGTAGTAACCAGTATACACACCGGTAGGAGCCAGTAGTAACCAGTAGTAACCAGTATACACACCGGTAGGAGCCAGTAGTAACCAGTAGTAACCAGTATACACACCGGTAGGAGCCAGTAGTAACCAGTAGTAACCAGTATACACACCGGTAGGAGCTGAGTGTACGACCAGATGTAGTGAAGTTATCCTACCACAGATCCAACGAGCTGATAACGAGCAACAACTACTCATCTGCCCTTGACGAGGGGTAAGTTTATCTTTCAGTTCCTTATCTTCAAATCTCTTGTTTTCTAGTATAGTGTCTTATCTTCTAGTTGATTTAATATTTTAGTTTCTTGTCTTCTAGTGTATATGGAATTTTTATTTGCTCAAAAAAACTTTATTCTCAACGAAATTCTCCACAGTTACAACGTCATAAAAACCGCCCTGTTCGAGTCCATCGAGGTGCAGAAGTCCAAGTCCCTCGTAAAGCAGATCGTGACCGGAGAATTCCTCAGAGGTTCCCACACGTCATCCTCAGCTTTCAACATGTTGTGTCACGTGACCAGGCAGAAACTGGGTCACAACACTGGTCAATGTGAGGCTTACCGGGTGAGGGATCCTTCACTTTTATTATTTTAGTCATATTTGGGACATTTTAGGAGGTATGGTTGGTACATTATAATATGTGGATACTGGATATGCTGACCAATTATGCATAACCAATAGTAACCATCTTACAGGACATGCTAACCAGGGAGGAGTGGTATGACTGGAATGTTGACATGTTAGCTTGCTGCATGGCTGAAAACAGGCTGCAGCACGGGTTTATCCTGTGTCTTGCTGCCCTCGCCTCCAGACTCATTGACGCACTGCACACTGTCAAGGATATGCAGATACACAGGTGAGGCAGTTTGTAACCTGTAGTTACTAGTAGTAACCTGTTAGTAACCAGTGGTAACTAGTAGTAACCAGGTGAGGAAATTCGGAGAGACTAAATTGTTGTAGGTATCATGCAATGGTATGACCCGGCTTCGTGTTACTGTGAGTGAGAAAATTCATTGGATTGTTTCAATAGTTAAACAGTATTTGATTTGTGCTTGGACAACGCGAATGATCATAATTAGTAGTGATAAACAAGCGACGTTTAACCAGTAGTTACCAGCAGTAACCAGTAGTAACTCTGGGTTACCAGTAGTTAACTTGATGAACAAGCAACCGGTTGTCTGATCACGTATAAAACTTAATATTTCAGTTTATACCTGGCTGGAGTCCTGAACCAGAAAGATTACATTTCTGAAAATATCGGAGCCCTTCTTTACAACCACCCAGATACGCCCGGAATCTGGAATATTTTCTACTCTATCCGACACAGACTCCCTTAATACCGTCTTCATCGACTGGGTACCTTTCTATTTATAGAAACCGCAAAAATGAACTTTCACTCAGAAAAAATGAACATCGTGATAATTCGATTTAATATTATATTCCTCGAATGAGTGATGATAGCAACTTATACCAGAAAGAATAATTAATTTTTAAGTAAAATATTGTAGTCAGGTTAAAAGTGGTTGTATTGGAATCATAAAATAACATATATAAGGGCACAGGACAGTGTGAGATGGCTTCACAGGTCTTTCAACGGTCTCTTCCGGTAGTAACCATTAGTAACCAGTAGTAACCATTAGTAACCAGTAGTAACCAGTAGTAACCATTAGTAACCAAAATACATTTTTGCAGGTGTAAGATGGCTTCACAAGAACAGAGGCTCTTTCAACGGTCTCTTCCTCAACATGCAGAACAGTTATTATTCTCGGCACTATAAAGCAGCCATCGCATTCTTCCGGCAGTAAGTTATCATCTTTATACCAGTTCTTATAGACAGTAATAATTAGGGATCGTTCACATAATATTACGTCATCACTTTTTGGCTAATTTTTCAGTTTTACTCATAACTATTGTGTTAAACGTATGCTAGCGTAAGCATTTATATTTTAGAAATCCCCTCCCCAACAGTGATTGCGTAACATATGGAGTTGGACGACCCCTAATGTTGAAACTTTTGAGATAGAAGTTATTAAATGTTAAAGTAACCCCAAAGGGTCATAATATTTTAGTGACAATGATAATATTTTAGAAAATACATTATGATTTAAATGATATACCATGCTAACATGATGATAATGTTAACAATGTGTTGATACTTGATCACTGACCAGGATGTTAGGACAGAGACCCAAAGACAGCACCGTTTACTTCCACCTGTCCCTCTTCTACCTGCACTACGCGTGCAGCAAGGGACTTGAGTTCGTCTCACGTCGTCATGAGATGGCGGTGCAGGCCATTGCGTGTGTTCTTATGTACCATCAACTGAGGGGGCCTTGTCAGGAAACTTACTATAATATTGGTATTTTCTTTATTACGTCATTTTAGTTAAGATACTCACTGCCCTAAAATGTAGACCGTCCATTGTATTTGTAAACAAATTCCTGCTAAATGCACATAATATTATCGTAAACGTTTTATATTACACACGCGAATTGATTCGATGATTAATTAACATTTAAAACATGCTTCCAGGTCGTTGTTACCACCACTTGGGCTTATTCCACTTCGCGATACTCTACTACAAAAGAGTCATCGCCACCCCACCGTCATCCCCCAAAGAAGTACAGCTACAGATTGACAAGATGAACAGGATCATCGCCAGGAACAGAGACAAATCCAGGGATATTAAGTCGGGTCAGACTACACCTCGTAACAATGAGAATTCTCCTGAAAATGACATCAGCCGTGAAAACAGTCCCACTAATAAGAAAGGTGGTCTTGCTAAGGAAGGGATAAACCATCCCGACTTCCCGAGGGGATAAACCCTTCCGAGGGGATAAACCCTCCCGAGGGGATAAACCCTCCCGAGGAAGGTATTGAGAAAATGTTAGAAACTGGAGATCATGTTGAATTAAAGGATATCGATCTGACAAGGGAGGCAGTTTTTAATATGTGTCAGATTTATGAGGCTTGTGGAAGTGAACACTTATATAGCAAGACAGTTGTTGTACCAATATTCTGTAGTCTGACAAAATTTTCACTGCGATGTTATTACGTTCTTTACACGTTTCAATTTCTTGATCTTTATTTTTATTTGAGTTTTCGATATTATTATTTTGCATATTCAATATTGAAGGTGAAAGATGTTATTTTATCATGAATTTTCAGTTATTTATATTACATATTAATCAAGTGTGTATTTAAATTGTTCCAGTGGCAGAAATTATAGACTCATTTCGTAGGGTAAATCTTATATAAAGCGAGACGATATATATGTATATATCCGTGCCATTTAACATTTTACTGACACCACGGCATCAACTTTAACGCGACCTTCCGCAAAAACCGTAAAAGATATACAACTGAGACTTTTTTGACTGGGTCGAATGCTTTTATGCTTTTCAAATCAGCATGAAAAAATAAAAAATTTGCCAAGGAATAGGAGTTTTAGAGCCCAAAATTTGGACCCCCAAGTGGTGTCAAAAACGCGAATTAAATAGGTAATAATTATTTTAGTCTTTTAAGTCTTGGCACCATTTTAGGGTTATACGGGTTCCTGCTAGTATATATAATAGGGAAGGCATTCAATTAACGGGTGATACTGATACTCGTAAAATAAGTGTTCCAAATATTAGACCGTCGACGAGTCCAACTATATAGCTCGGCGCGCGTCCTGGTAGGTTGTAAACCTACAAGTTATAAACCTACAAAATTCAAGTGTCGATAGCTAACCTAAGTTTATTAATAGTCAGCGGAGAATGTTGGGATTTTTCTTTGCACACAACTTTGTAGGTTTATATACTTATCCATTACCAAGACGCGCGCCGAGTTGGACTCGTCGAGCGGTCGATAATATTTGGAACAAATATTTTAAGAGCTGCGAACGATGATTTTCGTATATGGTATATATATATAATTATATATATGTATATAATTGGAATACATGCTCCAGTTTTCGGAGAGAATGTTTGAATTTGTAATATTCGTCAACTGCACGGGCACCTACAGGGTTAAACAACAATCGTGGCCGCGCAAATAATGTTTTTTTTTGCAATCCACAATTTCGGCGTATACAGTATAGTAAGATCGGCGAAATGCTAACCTGCTTGATACATGTTTCGTATGCGCGCGAAAAGTGGCATGCAACATTGCATGTTGCAACGTATGTCAATAACCTGCCGGGTCCTCTTGTAGGTTTACAACTTACTGGGCCGCGCTCAGCCTGTCATTCCGCCAAATCTTTATTCGTTCATTTATGTTAAATTAATGAACATAATAGCCTGGGGTCCTCAGGTAAGTTTACAACCTACCAGGACGCGCGCCGAGTTGGACTCGTCGAAGGTCCAATATATGGAACAGATATTTTACGAGTATCACCCGTTAAGGGTCGTCATGCTATTATATTTCTGTTCATAATCAAATGAATAGATATTAGGCGGAATGACTGGCTGAGCACGGCCGAGTAACGAAATTCACCACTGGGCCACGCCGAGCTGCGAAAGATTGACATCGTGAATAAAAACAACAAGGAGACTTCATCTTTACTTTCGTCTGGTTTTCCACTCTCTGTTCAATCATCAAGTTACTAGCTAGGTAACATGATAATCGAACTGAGAGGTACAGTTTTCAACGTAACAACGATTTCGGATGGTTCGGTCAAACCCACGTTTTAACCACTTGAACGACAAATTAGTGCACTACCAACTGTACACGGTCCTCACACACTTTCATTAAACCAAAGTTAGTTTTATATACCAACATAGTTTACGCGACGGAACATTTACTTGTACGTATAAGTACGTACGGCTACCCTGCAGCTACCCTGCAAGCGATGAACTGATGAGCTAGCTCCTCCCATATATGGCGTGTAATTAACTGTGCAAATATCACGTGCTAGATGCTCAACAGTCCCCCTGTTTATTATGCCTTGTATGGCGCGTAATTGGCTTTGCAAATATCACGTGCTATAATATGCCGCCACTAAGCGCGCTCAATCGGTATCTCGTGACCCTCACGTGACCGATTAAAGGAAGTTCTCTGTGTGTGACGGAAACTATACTAGGAAAAAGGTTGTTTGAGCATTAAATAGGCGAGACACCTCCCATTCTGCAGCTGCAGAGTTTAATATCTACATGCCACTCGCTTTCACTTAAAGCTCACAGCTGCTTAAGTTATCCGGACCCCAGACCGGATTGTGGGAACAATACTCTTCAGTTTGATAATGTTAGTCGGACTGACAGCTTTGCGTTCCTTTTCGAATAAAGAACGTTTTGAAAATGCGGAAATCAACAAATTTCTCAACATCACGCAACCAGCTCGGTAGCTAAACATTTCTAAATTTCAACTATTATAAAGCCTGAGATATAATTCATCTTTTACTCTTTTAGATTACACGACCACAAGAAAGAGGGATATGTCAATATGTGGTATTATTTTGAAGGGATCATGGGAGATTGATGAGAAGTCGTCAACCAGTCAACTATAAGTATAGTAAATAACTAGTAAATATAGTTGAATCAGCGCAAGGCGCACCGATCATACTGTCGCGCGATTCGGCACGTGGGCGCCGTGGTTACCATGGCGCAATTTATTTCACTGTTCGCGCTTGTCTTTTACACGCGATCAAATTCTTTCTTTACCATTAACATTCGTTGCAATCTCTGTCACTGTTTACAGTTATACATTAGCAAACTTTCAAAAACACATCAAGTTCAATTCGATGACCAGGATTATCCTATTCATCTGGGCACTCACAGTGCCGCTCTCCGCTGCTCCAGTTCCACGTTCACTGTATCAGAATATCAGCGACAGCAATTCTACTTCGGCATCGCCTATTGAGGAAGTCCTAAAAATCGCCGGATCCGATAACTCCGCAATAAAAGTTGCTTTTATACTCAGTTTCATAGCCGTTTTATCTGTCATCCTGCTAGCTTGTCTGATGGTCGGATTCTTTGTAAAAACCACGAACAAGATTTCAGAACTAGCGAAACTTTTAGAAAGAGATAACAGCATTAACAAAGATCTCGAAAGTGGACTACGGGAAGAAATAAAACCAGAAGAAGAAATAATAAAATCACATAGTCAGATCGACTTTAAACCAAAGAACTATCACAAGCAGCGTCTGCTTATGAAACTGAAGGAAGCTCAAAAAGAACACCCGCTAGCGAAGATGACCGGCATGGAGAAAGTTTCTCAAAGAAAACGAAGAAGACGACCCCTGAGAAGCCGTAACGAGAGGAACAAGGGGACTACTTTAAAGGTACAGTCCTCCCCCTTTTTGCTTTTTGGGACGGTCATGATCACATTTCTCTGACTAATTTGAACGCCCCAATTTCTAGTAAATTACTAAATTTGACGGACAAAAATAATGCTTAAATTAGACAAGTTATCCACAAGTTTGTTTCAGATTTACCCGGCCATGGACGTATCAGACACGGAGTTGAGCTCAGGAGAGTTGGTAAAGTGTCACTATCCTTTCCCCAAACATCAGAAGAAGCTTATCTGGCCCAACAAATACAAGTTTATCCCTCAGGATCTTGAACCTGGTGAACTTGTTTTCATTTCCGGAGACGAAAATGCCAAATGGTCACCATACGAATTCAAAGAATCGGATAGCGTTTCACTATCTTTTGGTGAGGATAAGGTAGAGAATGAAACATCTGGTCAGGAAATGGAGATGATTAGTCGGGATCCAAAAAAGATGGAACAATACGCAGTTAAAGAAACATCGCCAATTTTATGTCCGGAGACTACGGTAAAGAAATCTTCCAAGAAACCTTCACGCAGACCACCTCCTAAACACAAGATTAAGAACCAAAAAGTACAATCAGAAGCCGAAAGAGTTCTTGTCGATTTAGACGAAATACTGTGTACAGCGAATCTTTATCCTGTAATCACCAGACCCAAGCTTACCAAAGCTAATAAGCTGTCGTCTGCGAGGGAAAGAAGATTGACGGAAAAAAGGAAAACGGACCAGACTGTGCCGATAGAAGAGACCCTGAATATAGAAAAGAAGGGAGACTCGCTGTGTATCGAAGTGGAAAGGAATGATGTTATCTCCTCGACTCCCATCATCCTCCCACTAAACCCCTCTCCTGTTACCCCAGTGCTTCCTAAAGAGTGTCCTCCCAAACTCTCACCTAATAAAGTAACACTGGCCACTCAAAAGCTCTCTACCACGTCTCAGCTCAATGCCCCAAAGATCCGACGTCCAGAAGCAAAGTCCACATTATCGACTGCTCGGCGTCAACAACCAAGAAATAAGAACGCTCGATTAGCGACACAAACTCCCCCGCCAAAACATGCGAAGAAGATCATGTTCCGACCAGGGGCAGTCAGGAAAAGGAGGTCCATATTCGGCAAACCTAAGAGTCTCAACTATTGGACTATCATTGCCAACAAAAAACTCCAAAAGAAAAACGAAGCTCTTATAGCAGAACATTCTCCGAGCCCAGACCCTATACTTCAAATACATAGAAATTGTGACGGGGCTATCCTGTACGAATCTCCTCTGAAATCAAATCCTTTCGTTATTCAGGTTAGCGTCTTACACGAATTCAATTTTATTTAAAATCTTATATTAGTATTATATGAGTAGTTAAACTGTTAAACAAGTAGTTTTCTTTAAATTAACCCTAAAAACCCACAGAACGGTGTCGTTATGAGGAAAGATAACGTGGGCTGAAAGGATAACCACGTGACATACAAATATTGTACAACAAGTACACAAAGCTAAACCTGGTTGGCAATGGAGTAAATACTAGTTTGTCAATGATGGAATTTGGATGATGCATTCTTTCAAGGGACATAGATAAAGAATGACAGACAGGGATACAATTCATCACACGAAGATATTCTACATTTGCATATTTTCAGTTAATATATCTTACCATATCATAAAAACAAAAAAAGATTAAAAGATACAAAACCAAAGAAAAAAGAGAAAACAACAAAAAACAAAAAAAAAAGACTTTTCACTTTGCTATACAATCGTGCAGAAATTATTTCAGAATCTGCATAAATTGTGAGTTCAAAAAACCGGATAACTGTGTTTTATTTGTTTGACAAATTGGGAAGGAGGGACTTTTTTTTAA